TGTTTATAATGATTGTTTTGGCTAAAAAGTAATATATTTCTATTTTGTATTTAATAATAATCGTTTTATATTACAATCTACAAAAAATAGTGAAAATGAGGTTTTACAGATGACATCTTCTTTTTTCCCCGAATCATAATCTTTAAGAACTCATTTTTATATATCAATTGTAATGGCTTTGACCTCTTTGATCTTGGGTTTGACAATGAGCTTCATCAACAACATTGATGAAGTTATCATCGACAATGGCTAAGAAGGAAGGTATTTGTTGGAGACCGCTGACGACAAAAGTAAATGGGTGGGGGTTTGGGTGGTTGCCAAGATAAGAGAGGGATGAGAGGCGTGTGTTGAAATCACAATGACCATCTAAGTAATTAAAAAAGTTAAGGACTAAAATCAAATTTTTGAAAAACAGGATCATTTATATAATTTTGTTTTTTTGTTTTTATTTTGATTTTATTTTAATTTTTTTAATTATTTTTTTTATCAATCTTATTTGGGAAGGTTTTTTCCAATAAAAACCTTATATTTTGAATTTTTTTTCTTTTTAGACCTAAAACTTTTAGTTTTTCCGAAAAAGACCCAAAGTTTACTGGAAACTTGTTATTTCGAACCCTAATAGGTCACCAATGTAAACTAACTGATTTTTTCATAAAAGACCCTACATTTTGTATTTTTTCCACTTTAGACCTAAAATGTGTGTTTTTTTCTTTTCAAATTAATCTCAAATACTATTGTTTTTGCTTTATCAAGTTGTCTCCATGAAATGTTATGTGCTCATTAAAAGCTGTATTTCATTGGATTTGGATGATCATTTCGATTCTCTATTGGAGTTATGTCATTTGTCTAAAATTTTTATGGTTCGAAGAATCAAGAATTCGAATCCTCCTCGCTATGGTCCTAAGTAACATCTATGAACTAGATTTGTACATTTCTCATTAACTAGACATATTGGGGATTAAGACTCAATAATAAAAGATTTAAAAATGCATCATTTATAACAACTTTCTAGAAAACATTTATCGGTGAAGTAGTGTCGTTGTTAATATAATATAATTTAGTTAAAACTTCATTTTAAAATAAATTAGATGAGGTAAGAATAGAAAATTAAAGAATAGAGAGAGTACCATTTCAGAAACTATCATGATGTTTCTGAAAGGGTACTCTCTCTATTCTTTAATTTTTATTCTTACCTCATCTAATTTATTTTAAAATGAAGTTTTAATTAAATTATATTACATTAACAACGTCACTACTTCATCGATAAATGTTTTCTAGAAAGTTGTTATAAATGATGCATTTTTAAATCTTTTATTATTGAGTCTTAATCCCCAATATGTCTAGTTAATGAGAAATGTACAAATTTAGTTCATAGATGTTACTTAGGACCATAGCGAGGAGGGTTCAAATTTTTGATTCTTCGAACCATAAAAAATTTAGACAAATGACATAACTCTAACAGAGAATCGAAATGATCATCCAAATCCAATGAAATACGGCTTTTAATGAGCACATAACATTTCATGGAGACAACTTGATAAAGCAAAAACAATAGTATTTGAGATTAATTTGAAAAAAAAAACACACATTTTAGGTCTAAACCGGAAAAAAAATACAAAATGTAAGGTCTTTTATGAAAAAAAAAATCAGTTAGTCTACCTGTTGGTGACCTGTTAGGGTCCGAAATAACAAGTTTCCGGTAAACTTTGGGTCTTTTTCGGAAAAACTAAAAGTTTTAGGTATAAAAAGAAAAAAAAATAAAAAAATAGGGTTTTTTTACGGAAAAAAGCCTATTTGGGACGAGTAAACCGGTTGCGTCGTGGCAGATACCTGAATTTTGATTCATCTGCAAAAATTGATCGTAGAAGATCAAACCTTTCGTCTTCATCCTCTGATTACTGCAAAATATAATTTTCCCCTCTTCATTGTCAAGGTTCTCGCATCACTTCTTCATCATATCATCAGACAAAAATGTACGGATTCGAAGCTATGACCTTCAACATCCATGGGGGGTTACCTCGAAGCAATTGTCAGGGGCCACAGATCTGGTTTGTTGACCGCTGCTGATTACAACAATCTCTGTCAATGCGAAACCCTCGATGACATCAAGATGCATCTCTCCGCCACTGAATACGGACCTTATCTTCAAAACGGTATTACAATTCGTTGTTTATAGGGATTTCGCGTGTTCTGTTATTATAATCTAGATATGGCTTATGAAGCAGTTTCCCCAAACTTTACTTATTTCAACACAAAAAGAAATCAAGATTTGGACACGAATTAAAGATGATATCAAGTGAAGACATAGATCAATTATTAGGTATTAAAGTATCTAGGTTCAGTATTAATCCGTTCATGATAGTTGATTTTTCCAGTAAGCTTATTATGTCAATGTACTTTCCAGAAAGGCGGCATCTATGTACCTTTTTGAGATTTGGTTTGTTAGTGATATTAGTTTTTGTTTCAACGACTACTAACTTCGTTTTATTGATCTGATGTTTGCAGGATTCGTTCTTGACTACTAACTTCGTTTTATTGATCTCTTGCAGAACCTTCACCTCTGCATACAACCACAATTGTAGAAAAATGCACTCTTAAATTGGTGGATGAGTATAAGCACATGTTATGCCAAGCCACCGAGCCTTTGTCAACCTTCCTACAGTATATAACGTAAGTTGATTTATTTCCCCTTCCAAGTTTATATAATCCATATGTTACAAGCATTCTTGCATATTCATCTTTGTTTGGGGCTTAATATTTCTGTTTCCTCTCAGATATGGTCACATGATTGACAATGTTGTCCTCATTGTTACTGGAACTCTACATGAGAGAGATGTTCAAGAACTATTGGAGAAGTGCCATCCTTTGGGGATGTTTGACAGGTAAGTAAACTCATTTTCTTGATTTTTCTGCTTATTGTACATTTGTAATGCTTTTTATTTTTCTTCAGTATTGCCACCCTGGCAGTAGCTCAGAATATGCGTGAGCTCTACAGACTGGTGCTTGTGGATACACCACTTGCTCCATACTTTTCAGAGTGCATTACATCAGAGGATTTGGATGATATGAACATTGAGATCATGAGAAACACCCTTTACAAGGCATATCTTGAAGATTTCTACCAGTTTTGCCAGGTAAGCATGTATTGGTTATTTCTGAATTTACAAATATCTTTTTATATTTCCGTTTTAAAAAAGAATTTTGGAACAGAAATTAGGTGGTGCCACTGCAGAAATAATGTCTGACATTTTAGCCTTTGAGGCTGATAGAAGAGCTGTTAATATCACCATAAACAGGTGCTTCCATTATTCAAGATTTTCTTTCTGCTTATATGCAACTTCAACATGCTTATTTACTCTTTTGCCCTTGGGTTTCCATATGCAGCATTGGAACTGAGCTCACTCGAGAGGATCGTAGAAAGTTGTATTCTAGTTTTGGATTACTGTAAGATAATAAGAACAAGCTATAATCTAAGAGCATGTTTTGGGATTGCTTTTAAAACTACTTTTGCCTTTTAACTTTTTCAAAAAGTTAAAAAATGGTTAAAAGATGTTTGGGTGATGCAAAAGATCTTTTAAAATAACTTTTTGTGTAGGAGGAAAAGTTAGTGTTTCAAAAGTCATAAAATCCTATCTTTTTGTGACTTTTGGGACTTTTTAACATGAAAAGATGACTTTTACCCTAAAAGCAAATACAAACACATTTTAAAGACTATCTTTTGGAAAAAGTCACTTGGCAAAAAGTCCTTTTAATGTGTAAATTCTACTTCATCTTTTTTCTATGTGCTTATTTATTGGCTTTCAAAACAGCTACCCCCATGGCCATGCGGAACTTGCTGTATGTGAGGATATAGATCAGGTAAATGAATGAACAATGTTTATAGTCGATTTGTTTACCCCTAATTTGATGGAGAATTACTATTTTAGGTCCGTGGTGTGATGGAGAAATATCCTCCATATCAGCATATATTTGGTAAGCTATCTTATGGAGAGAGTCAGATGCTTGATAAGGCATTTTATGAAGAAGAAGTGAAGCGACTTTGCTTATCATTTGAGCAACAGGTTTGTTTTTCTGTTTTTTGTGTTTGTGATGACTGAAATTGAGATAATTAGGGATGAAAATGAAAATGGTGATTGTTTATGTTGTTATATATGCAGTTTCATTATGGTGTGTTTTTTGCATACATGAGGCTGAGGGAGCAGGAGATTAGGAACTTGATGTGGATATCTGAGTGTGTGGCTCAAAATCAGAAATCTAGGGTTCATGATAGTGTTGTTTTCATATTTTAGTTACTCATTATATGGTTGTTATCTTGTTGCATTATATTTTTTATTTATCGATTCAAATGTGGTCTTCTTCAGGTCTTCTGTTATGAGGATATTTGTGGGATATGATTGTTCAGAATCAAAATAAGAATATGATTGGCCAAGATATGAATGTGAATAGTCTTACTATAAAAGAATGTTTCTGTCAAACAAATTTATTATGAATCATTGAAGATGTTTTATAGATAACCAAACAAATTTATTATGAATCATGGAACATAAATTAAAAGTTTTGTTTTTTGTTTAGAATCAACACGCGTTCATACCATTTGCATTCGATACGTTTGGTTTCCTTGCGCCGGATGCCGTGCAGCTTCTTAGTAGACTACAACGGATCATGCATAACAATGTTATATCCCCTAGATCTATGGATGTAGTCTTCAAAAAAATTGGTTTTACCATACAAAAGGGCTTAGCGACGCAACTTGTTGCCCGTTTGCCTTCTCATTCGTTGTATGATGATAACTAAAATGTTTATGAATTAATTATTCTTAAAAAAAAATTATTATATGTTTAGAATTCAATTACTTAATTAATTTAACTACATGTTTGACATATTTATCAACTTAAAATAAATAAGAGGAAGTTATGTGTTGATGCTGAGACATGAATACATCGATAATATTTTCAAAAGAAATTATGATTTCCCTACATTTTGTTCCTATCCATATTTCTATTCATATAATTAAAATAATAACATGTGAAAATGCACTAGTTCTCTCTTTTAATCCCTCTTTCGATTTTCACACTTAACTTGTCTAATGAGTAGGAAGATAAATAGACACACAAGTTAACACATAAAGTCAATATGCCAAATGCCCATACTCAATCATGTTTGAGACATTCTTCACATAGAGATGGTGGCATCTGCATCCTTTTTCTTCTATCCACTGAATGAAATTGCAAAGATTTTGATGGGAGCTTCCACCTGGTCTAACACTACTTGTAACCTTCTCTTGAATTTCTAAGGCTTTATCTTTAAATGATTTGTCTCCAAGGAGCTTCTCCACTTTACATTTTATTTCTCCTCTGGTGATGATACCTTGATCATCTTTTGTAAACCCCAACCCATTCTTCCACATGTCACAAATATAAGTTTCATTGAGAAATTGATCAGCAAAGCATGGCCAACAAAGGAAGGGGAGTCCATTGGTGAGACCTTCTATAGTAGAGTTCCAACCACAGTGACTCATAATGCAAGCTACTGAAGGATGAGCCAACACCTTCTGTTGAGGAGCCCAACTCACAATCTTTCCACGAGATCCTACTCTTTCCACATATCCATCAGGGAAACTTATGACCATGTTTGTTCGCACAACCCACATGAAGGGTTTGTTGCTAAGTTCAAGACCAAGGGCTAGTTCTGTAAATTGGGTTTGGTTCAAATTGGCTATGCTCCCAAATGCTATATACAAAACTGAACATGCTGATTGTTGATCGAGCCATTCTAAGCAGGTGGAGTCTTCTTGCCAGAAGTGGCCTGTTTGGTTAGCAAGTCGATCGCTTGCTAACAAAGGACCTATAGGCAACAGTTGTGGGAATTGGTTGAATGTTTCAGGCTCCATCTCAATACTTGAGTTGCATATTACTCGTTCTGCTAACATGACACCTTCTGCAACTAATCTTGCATATTGAAAAAAAACTTCTTTGGTGGCCACGTCCCCAGCACACATCCATGGGAGGTTCGTTGATTTTATAGGTGCCATGGTTTCTGACACCTGAATCATATCATCATTTAGAGGTATGCCTAGGATATATAATTCAAGAAAGATTAATTAAACGAGGTTTTTACAAATTACAATAAGAATAAATTTTTTCTATGAAATAAATAGTTTTGCAAATTAATCTTACCATCGTTATTTATGATTCCATCTTTGATCAACTTCTCATAACAGATATTGATTGCTAGTGAGGTTAATGCCGCAGGCCAGAAAGCTGCAGTTCTGATTCCCATCTTCTTTGCAACTCTTAATGCCCATCCCATGAAACCATCAGCAACAATACATGCTGACTTTGTTACAATCTTGTTTGTTAATCTTCTCTACGAGTTCTTCCAACTTGTTAGTCATGGATTCTAGTATGGATTTGGTCAACTTAATAAGGTCACTCCTATCCTCCCATGGTTCTAAACCATCAGGGATTGAAACCATATGAATTAGATCCTCATAATCATCTTTCTCTAACATTAAATTGTTAGTCACGACCTTGTGAATAACCTCTGTGTTTACAAAAGTGACTTTGACACCGTTTTTGGCTAAGCGTCGAGCAAGCTCCATTATAGGAATTACATGGCCTTGTGCGGGAAGAGGTATGACTAGGACATGAGGTTTTGTCATGTTTCCGTAATGGAGTTTTTTTCTCTAGAGCTATATGTTGATGCTTTCTATATTTGGTTATATGCTCGTTTATATACTTACTCATGAGTGATAGATGTCATGTTGTGTTGCACATTTTTGTGTATTTTAGTTAGTTTTGTTGGGTTTAATTTGACTTGAGGTTTATAGAATTCATATGATATAAATGTCTCTATGCATGTTTTTATTGACTAACATGTCTAGTCTATCTATATATTATATCGACAAAATTGTAAAAATATCCCAGTGGTATGTATTTTTTTGGGGTTTTCGTCCAAACCTCGATGTTTTTGGTTTTATGGTCCTTTTGACTATGTTTCTATGTGAAAATGATACCCGTTAAACTTAAAATTACTAATATGCCCTTTTAATTTGTTTTTCTTATTTTCTTAAACATTTTATCCTTTATTTTAATATTATGTAATAAAAAATAAAATGGGGCCCATCCCACCTCTCTCTCTCTAATATATATATATATATATATATATATATATTCATCTTCTACCTCTCACCATCTACTCAAGTATGAAAAAACACACACATTACAATTCTTAAATTTTTTTAAAAAAAACTAATACATAAGTATAGATGCATACCAAACGTTTATCAAGAAATATCACACCTCATCTCTTGAGATTTCATCAAAAGGCACAAAACCAATTTATATTGATTGAAAAAATAGACTTTCGTCTCTTGAAGAAACATGCACTTAGTTAAGGAAGAAGTAATCACTCCAACCCAATTTGGCACCTTTCACCACCCCAACACGACTTCCGTATCCCTCATAAGTCTCCAGTGAGTTAGCGTACTTCTGCTTCTCCTCCACCGTAAGCTGGAAGAACTCTCCGCCAGGAGCTGGTGGCTGACACCATGGTTCACCACCTGGAAGAACCCCCACTCACGACAAGCATCAGATATTAGCTCCAAAGTGGCCTTACACAACGCTGCATCATCTGAGTTGAGTTGAGGCCTGAGAGATCAATGACTGAGATTTTGACCTCATTCGACTCCTCCACCACCGATGGCCTGTCCATAATGGGTTTCACGTAATTGTCCAGGATGGCTTCTATGCCACTCTTCGATAACGATTGCACTCTCACCACTAGTTCTGGCCATCTCTGCAAGACGTTCATCCACTACAAGAATAACAACGTTTAGAGACGACACCTATCCAGACGACATATGTCGTCGGCAAAAGCCGAGCTATACCGACGACATGTCGTAGGGACAACGTTTTCAAACATTGACCATATGTCTTTGACCAGAAAAGCTATGCCGACGACAAGTCGTCTACATAGACTCGGCGGGAAAGGGCAAAATTTTGGCGGTATATCGAATATCTATGCCGACGACATGTCGTTGGGATGAGGAATTAAAAAAATATTTTCGATTTATTTATATTCCTTGTCACAGAAAATCAGGACGTCATCGTTTTCGTCACCCTATGTCGACGACATGTCGTCGGGAAAAGGTGGGACCGATCCGCGTGAAAACCCTTTTTTTTTTTTTTTTTTTTTTTTAATGACGTATAGTGTAACGACGACGTTTTCGTTTACCTATACCGACGACTTGTCGTCGGTATAGGTTTCCCCTTAACAAAACACGCATTCAGTGTTTATTTTGCAGTCGCCTGCAATTCCTTTTCCCTCTCAACCTTCGGCGACGCAGGGCGGTTTCTGGCCATTCCACTTCATCGGCGAGCTAAAGGTAAGGTTCTTGGTCCTTGATTTCTTCTTAATTTATAATAGCTTGAGTTTTTACTCCGATTTTGGGGGATTTATTTCCGGTTGTTGGAGCCCTAAATCACAGCCTTCATCATCGCCGGCCGGCAACAAGTTTCACCACCGCCATAGAAAACGATTTCCGGTGATTGAGCTATCTTCACAACCGATTTTGAGGTAAGTTTTTTGATTTTTTTCCTGCTTAACACCACAGTTACGTGAATGCAGTTTATGATATATATATATATATATATATATATATATATATATATTATTTTTTATTACTTTTATTATTTTTATTTTTTTCCTCTCAATACACCATGATATATACTTTTTCAGATTGTTTTTGGTTGATTGCTTATATATATATATATATATATATATATATATATATATATATATATATATAGGCTTAGGTTATTCCATTCAAAGTAATTATTGTGTTATTGTATGCATAAATATGGGCCAATCAATTTTATTTATTTTAAGAAAGTGATTAATATATATTATTGAATTAAATATAATTGAAAAATATTATCTAAATTAATGCAAGGGTATTTTAGTCAATTAATATAGATTTAATAAAGGAAAATTGCATATTTTAAGGGATCATAGATTCTATTAATTTTAAAAATCCGATTTTACGAATTATAATTTTTTTAATTCGGACATTCTGCCAGAATATGTTTATGAGTATATTCAAAAATAAAAATATTTTTGAACCATAAATAATAAAAATATTCTTGAACCTATTTCTTGATCACGACTATAAAAACTTCTTGTAGAATAACAAATTCTTGAACAATCAATTGAAGAATAAAAACAAAAAATACATTATTTCTTATAGAATACGGGTAACAATTGTTAAGAATTACAATTGAAGAATAAAAACTAAGAACGACACTAATACATTCTAAAAGAATAATGTTGCTTAGAATCACTTTCAATTTTGTGGTCCGTTCTTCAAGCATCAACTTCTGTGAAAACAAAACCAAATTGTAGTTTAGATTACAATAATGCATTAGCAAATGAAAAATAAAAAACTAAATTCCTTTGGAAAAATATGTGGACTTGTGAATTGCACCAAAACCAATAACCAAGAATTGTAGAACATGCATAAATCAGTGAGAAAATATCCATACTCCATTCCAACAGAATTAGAATTCATGATTCCATTCCAACAGAATTGGAATTCGCGATTCCATTCCAATAGAATTGGAATCTCACCAATATCATCCATTGAATCATCTACATAAACAAATTGATTTTTATAATATAAAAAGAAGTAAATTTGATATGAAAATAGTGACAAACTACCTTCACTTTCAACAATTCATTGTGGACTCAAATTCCATCTTAGAAAAACCTCCGTTTAACAAATTATCAAGTTCAATGCTATTAAGGAACCACAAATGAGGGTAATAGTTTTCCCTAGGATTTACATCAAACAAAACAAAAACCAGTGTATTCCCTACTTGTTACAAAATATATGCCCCTAATACACATTCAATCCAATCCAAAGTAACTGGATCTTGTTCGCTATTACCAGGAAAAAATAACTAGTCATTTGAACTAGTAAAAAGGTAAGAAGTAAAAAACACATTCTTTTACCTGGGCTCAGTCCTAGATACAACTGGAATATCGAAGTAGCTCTATCTCGCCTTATAAAGCATTGAATTGGATCCTTTCTCGATCCAGGCTAAAACGAAGTAATTCAAACATATCGAAGTTAGAACACAAAATTGATTTGAGATTTGAAGATGATTGATTGATTGATTGATCAAAGTACCTGTTTTAACGACACGGGGAATGTGATTAATCCGCATTATTCAGGTGTTCTAACGATTTGCTTTACAGTATTTCTCCAGAATCTGCAAACCGAAGCACAAGCGACAATATCTCTTCTAGCTGGCCATATTATGCAAATTTAATGGAAATAAAGCAAAATTAAAGCTAGTGAATTTGGAGAAAAACCTCTTACGAGAGTAGGATACAAGATGCGACTTCTCCAATTGATACCATCTTCTAGGGTTTTAATTTCATCGGCTGATTCCATTTCTGAGCATACTGAAATCTCCAATTGATACCGCCTTCTAGGGTTTTAATTTCATCGGTTGATTCTCACCAATGTCGCCCAAATCTCGAAGAACAGTCGTCACAAGTGAAAGAGAGTTGGAGAATTTTTTCCAAGGATGGTTGGTTCGTCAGGAACATTACCTGGATAAGTTTCGATCGAATTTACGAACTTCTGCTCATAGCTCCGATGATGAACATATCCATGATTTGATCGCTCGTGTTCTCTCGCATCACCAGCAGTACTACGAGGAGAAATCTCGAATCTCGAATCATGATGTGTCGTTAGTGTTCTCTCCGCCGTGGTTTTTTAGCAATGGAGAAACCTTAAATGAGAATGAAGATTGAAGAAGGAAGAAGATCGTGAAGAACAAGGTTTTTTAGCAATGGGGATCGGTGGAATTGGTGAGGCGTTGTAAATCGAGGGGGTGGTCGTCAATGGAAGTTTTTTTTATGGTGGAATAGGGTTTTTGATAGTGAACACCGTATATAAGAATGAGAAGAAATTAGGTCAAAGACAAAATAACTAGCATAACTATAGGAAGTATTTGTGGAAGTTATTTATAAAATTACTTTATTACCCTTATTTATTTATTTAATTATTTAATTTTTTATTTAATTTTGATTGGCCCACATTTATGCATACAATAACACAATAAATACTTTAAACACCTGAACCTATATCTCTCTCTCTCTCTCTTTATATATATATATATATATATATATATATATATATATATATATATGCATTTTGAGGTATGAAAGTGTGTTTTGGCATGAAAATGAAAATGAAGTTAGGCATGATTTGTTTATGCTCATTGTGGTGTATTGGCATGAAAATGAAATTAAGAATGATGTTTGATTTTGTATTTAGATATATACATTTGTATGAAATTGAAATTTGATGTCTAAAATGTAAAGTGCTATAAGGTATGATTGTATGCAATTGGATGAAAATTAGAATTGTATGTTTAATTTTGATTTTGTATTTAGATGTATACATTTGTATTGTATGTCTAAAATGAAATAAAAATTGGAATTGAATGTATTGTATACATGTATGATTATTTGATATTTAGGTTTAATAGTTTGAGTGTATATAAGATGAAGTGATAAAGTTCTTAATTGATAAGTTATAGTTTTTGTATTTAGATGCTATTTTTTGTATTGTAAAGTGCTTAATATGGT